TGCGGGGATTTACGGTGAGTTGCATCCTATGTTACGATCCAAGCATCCATCAGAGTTATTTACATTTTTCCCGTCTATCTTGTATTCCAAACAGATGATGTTTTGTTATTGTACTTCCTAGTAGATACTCATGCACTTGCGACACCGGGTTTTGGGTTGTTCTAGTATTTGTTTATGATTTTTCTTACCATTGAGATACTTCTACTTTATATTTTACTTAAATCATACGTATGTACTATTTTTGATGCATCGATCTCTCTATCTAATAAGATTCATGATTTCAACAATAATAAAATGAACAATTAAGTTGGTAGTTCACCGTTGGCTTGCCTAACTGCGATGTTGGGCGCCATCATGACCTATAGTGGGTTTTGGGTCGTGACAATTTGATGGACGTATAAAGGGTGGAGTAGAAGCATCCTCATCTCCCTTTTGAGCCAAAAACAAATTGGGCTTCATTGATGGGTCTTATATACCCTTCCCAACTCAAAACTCTCTATATCTGAAAACCTAAAATAGATGTAACTATATTGTTACATCTTGGCCATTAATCTTACTGACAAAGAACATTGCAGAAAATGTTACTGATTTGGAATACAGATTTGGACAACCAAATGGTGCTAAGTTGTATCACCTGCAAAAGAAATTGGCTGACTTAGTGCAGGGATCATATGATATTGCAGGATGCTTTACAAGCTAAAGTATTTATGGGATGAGCTTGACACACTTAACACCAATGTTCACTGCACTTGCAACTGCAACTGTAGAAGAAAACAGAAAATGACTCAATTCAAAGATGACGAAAGACTCATTCAATTTCTTATGGGATTGAATGAGACTTATGCACAAGCCAAGAGTAACATAATGATGATCAACCTTTTTCCAACTGTCAACCATGCTTATTCTCTTATGATGCAGGATGAGAATCAAAGAGAGGTGCATGCACCTTCTCAATTTCCTAGAGATGGATCTCTATTCATGGCAGGAAAACATGCAACACTTACTCTATCCAACTCCCAACAGAAATTTGGTAACAACAGGGGTTCTTAAAACTAAAAAGGGAAGAACAACAATCAGATATGTTCTTATTCCATGATGACTAAAGATATGTGCCTATTGCAAGATGACTAACCATACTATTCAAAATTGCTATAGGCTTATAGGTTTCCCATCTGATTTCAAACTCACCAAATCCAAGAAGTTTCAAGGGCATGCAAGAAACAGTGCTGCTAATGCATCAGATGAATCAAAAGTGATATAGACTAATCCTACTGAAGGACCACAATTTGCTCAGAAACTATCTTCAGATCAATTCACACAGTTGGTAAGGCTTCTCAATCAGATTTAAGTGGGCAGTCAAAATCTTCTGAGATCAATGCCAACTCTGCTGCTCGTGTATTTTTTACCAACTCTAATTCCTCTTACTCAATTGAAAATTCCAATTTCAGCTCCTGGATCATAGATTCAGGAGCTTCTGAACACGCGTGTTTTAACCTTGCATCTTTCTTATCTTTATTACCATTATCTGTTTAATTGTCAAGTTACCTAATTCTTCTAAAGTAAAAGTCACTCACACAGGGAAGGTATCTATGTTCCTGAGGCTTATCTTAGACAATGTGCTACATGTGCTACTCTCTATTCATAAACTTCATAAGGTTCTCAATTGTATCTTAACAACCTTATTTTTTACTCTATTTATGCTTTCATTTGTTTATTGGACTGTTAGTAGGTTTTAATATCGACCTCTCGTCACTACTTCCTCGAGGTTAGATTTGATACTTACTGAAAACCACACTTTTGCATATTTTTATGCAAATTTAAGGCAGATAGTAGTGGCACCCATATAGCTGTTTAGGAGCTTATTTGAAGACTTCATGGTGAGCTGCCTTACTTGATCCGATCCGCAGCATATGGATTCTTCCTTCACTATTATCTATCTTTGTCTATTTATTTTTCTTTTCGGACTGATGTCGCTGTTCAGTTGAGATTACTTACTCTTGATAGGTGCTCGTGATAATGTGACACCAGGTTTTGTGAGTTTGTGAGACAGTTGTGGTCGTGCTTAGACCATGTTTTTGGCTTATGTATTCATGATGTTATTTGGGGGACTTATTCCTCTTTCTTATTTATATTTTATCTCAATCAATGGCTTAATAATTAGATTCTACTACTGTTGTGGAGTGTTAGCTTGCCTAGCAAGTATCGTGACACTTCGTTACGTTGCTGGGACTTCTGATTTTGGTCTCCCACTGATTGCTCACTCCTCTCTCAATCTGGTAGTTTTTTAGGATGCCGACTGGGCAGGTTGCCCCCTCACTAGAATGTCCACTGCGGGGTTATATATTTTTCTTGGTTCTAACTGCATCAGCTGGTCGTCTAATAAGTTGAACACTTTACAAAGCCTAGTGTAGAGGCTGAGTATCGACCATTGGCATCGCTTGCTGCTGAGATAACTTGGGTTATCTACATATTGCGAGATCTTGGTGTCTCTCTACCTCGACCTCCACTATTGTTTATAGATAACTTTAGTGCACTTCACCTTACGACTAATCCTATGTTGCATGCTCGCACCAAATATATCGAGCTTGACTATCATTTCGTGCGTGAGAAGGTTGTTCAAGGGGCCATGGTAACTAGGTTTATACTTTCATTGCAGCGGATAGCAGATATGCTCCCTAAGCCACTGTCCAAATCTCATTTTCAATTTTTACGAAGCAAGCGGCAAAATCCCAACATTAGCTTGAGGGGGATGATAGACAATCAGATCCTGACTAGGATTAGAATTACACTTCTAGTTAGCCGTGTATAATATATTATTAATCCTAGCCGCCAAGTGTAGTCCCACATGTGTATAACTCTATGTGACAACGTGATAAGGTAGTTGGGATATACATAAACATTCTAGGAATACGGATAGCACAGCAGTAGCCTAGAGGACTCCTTGATGTACTAAATATATAGTCATGTACAGGTGTCCTATGAATCATTGAATGGAAAAGAGCTTAAACCTTAATTGTGTTCTAATTATTATTTTCTCTACATATTTCCCTGCGCCTGCCCTCTTTAAAAGTTTGAACCGTGTAGCAACGATGGATTATCAATATAGAATTTCTCTGTCTCAAGTTCTTCCAAGCCACATAAAAATAACTCCTCCGATTGTATTTTATGTGTCTTAGTTTATCTGGGCGAAAAGTTTAAGAACACAAAGAACACTTTTGAAAAATACATTTTGAATTTAGTGTCTTTAAACTGACGGGATGTAACATATGAAAAATACATTTTGAATTTAGTGTCTTTAAACTACAGGGATGTAGCATACCAAAAATACCTTTTGAATCTTTTGGACTTAGACATTGCCAAGTGTCAATAATAAGGATAAAATGAGACTATTGGAATTAAGAACTTTCTAAATAGAGATGAGATATTTTTTGAAACTTAGTAAAGAGAAAAGTAAGGTACATAAATTGAAATTGAGCGAGTATAACTCTCCAAACTCTAACTAAGCTTGTAAAGACTTGCATATAGAACACAGTCCGAGAACATTTGGTTAACCTAATTAATTTAGCTATAAATAAAGCAACAACAAGAAGTATTATAAGTATGAACTAGCATATGGTGAGTTAGGTGAAGTGGAATTCCAACAGTGACTGTCACAATTGACCCTTTTATGAAATTTTCCTTGCCAAGTCCTTGAGGCTACTGGAAGCTGTGACAGGGAAGAGCTCTAGGGTTTTGAGGGGTGTATTGCTACTAATACAAGGAAGAGAAGTTGGAGTTGGAACTATGTCCATTAGCAATATGAAGTGTGGATCTTGTGCTCTCATCATGCAAGTTTCCATATCACATTTTGTTGGAATAGGAGGATTCATATTCCAGAGGGAATTCATCAGTCTAGTGGATGCATCTTCAACTTCTTCCTATATGATATTACAGGAGAAGTATGTCAAAGGATTTAACTTATAAACACGAACGATATAAAATAATTGTAGTCATCTTTTATTGATCAAATATTGTAAAAAGAATTTACATTGTCCTTATATACAAGTTAAACTCCAGTAAAATATACTTGGCTAGCATAATCACTATTTCTGTATATTTTTCCTCCCTCCCTTCCACTGAGTCTTCTAATTCACCAGGTAGTCCTACTATATATACTAGTACTAGTGGATTTATCGCGCTTCGCGCGGTTATAAAAGACATTAGTGAATCTTTTTTAGAAACAATACATATTTGGGTTAACTTATGCGTTAGTCCATAACTTTGGTTTAGTTTGAAGTTTGAGCATATACTTCTATATAATTTATACCTCTGAAGTATTTTAAGATTTATCTATATATGAAATTTTTTAAAACGTATTAAAGTAAAATTAAAAAATTCAATTTAATACTCCTTGAAGTTACGGAAAATTCATCTTAAGACTATTAATGAAACAAATAAATGAAGTATTATTGATCGTACATTAGAAGATCAGATTTATATAAATGACGTACAAACTTTCCAATTAGCATCAAAGAATCGTTCGAAAAGACTAACGTCAACAATATAAAAAATTTGGTATTGAAGTCTTGTTCTAGGAAGGTAGATATATGTAGAGCAAAAAAGTTCATATATGTATATATATATATAACAAAACCATGGATATGAAGGAGTAGCTCTATTATGTTATCTAATTCCTAAGCATCAACAATTTAATTACCTCCCTGGTAAGAATTTACCCAACACGCGGTGTTGCACCTATTGGTTTGATTAAAAACTCAAGTTCCTGCCATTTACCCTTTGTTTATAACACCCTTTGCAGTTGGAATGTTATTTAATGTATTATACTGCCATTTAAAATATTCTTTGATGATTCACACATTATTGAGTAACTTCAGCATTAAAGGTATTTACACACAAGTTAATTAAGGAATAAAAATCATCAAGTATCCACATCACATTCAAAATAAAATAACCAGTTAAAAATAGACCCAAAATAAATAACGGCATCAAAACTACAGTAATTGAGTCTGTTAAATTAATTTAGTAAAAATGTGATAATCGTGTGATAGATAATCGTGAACTGCACTAATTCTTATAAGATAGTCCTATCAGGTTACAAATAGACTTTAAAGAAGAGAAGAACCAAACTTAGTTTTGTGTAAATCCTACTGCTAAGATACATTCAACTACGTAGAAGACATTTATGACCTTGCAAAGCTCCATTTGCATTGAACCTCCATCTCTGTTTCCATCTCAAAGGGTAAGCACGACTCTTGCTCCCTCATTGCCAGGCTTACCTAGTTCTTTTATGTATAAAAAATATGAGCTTCTATCCTCTTTCCATAAGGAATAGACGAATGCTGGCTTCTTTCAATAATTAGCAAACTGAATTCTTCCAAAGATGTCATTGTTGAAAGATTTTGGTACATCACAAACACAAATTATTAGACTGTGATATACCTCAATGAATAAACGTAACATGTAGAAAACTAACCACAAGCCAACTAACTATAGTTGATCCTTAGAGATTATGTGATTTCTAGCTATTCTCAGACTCAACCCCTTTAGCAAAGGGGTTCCCACACAATTGTTGCCAACTTCATTTGTTCTAGTATTTTAGCCTCTAAATGTGGTTATTTAAAGTGATGAAAGCTAAAATGTCAAGTTGAGAAGAATGACAACTACTCTAGATTGAGCGGCTATAGACCAGAGGAAGAATAAACTTGAGAATGAAAACTCAGAGAAAAAGAATAGATGTTTGATTCTCTACTTCTCTTTGGGCGACGCAATTATGCAAAAGTCTGTTGCCTGGAGGTAGAAAAATAACTATGACTTCAATTTCACATAATACTAACAAATAGTGAATTCAATTTCACAGAATATTCTATAAATGAATGATTAGCAAACTATGGAAGGAGTAAAATATACTATTGAGTCAATCATGCTCTAGATTGACTATACTGCAAGGTTATTCACATACTCATATGGAAAAAGAAAAGCAAGAAAATTGGAGCTGAAGCATTAACATTTTGTAATTATGAAATATTGATTGGTGAAAAACAAAGGAAATTTTAACTATTTCAATATCTAAAATAGCAGAGATTGTCTTCAAGGCCTTACGCTTGTCGCTGACATCTTAGGACTCCAAGTCAAGATAAATTTTTATTTTCAATAGAACAAAGTGGGAAAACCCCCAAAAAATCAAATTTTCGCGAAATAGAAGGTAAAAAACAGTAGGAACAATCAAACATAGCATGGCGACTGATATAACAGATTTATATATCTATTAACACTAATCAAATGAAAAAGTTATCAACCACCACAAAGTTTATGTAGAAAAAGAATGTCGGAGACAATGGAAACTAAAAAGTCCAATACTCAAAAAGAATCAAAAGCAACAGTTATAGATTTTTTGAAATTTTCCAGAAGCTGAATAACAAAAAACAAAATCTTAAATATTAAAATTGGGAATAGATAACAATAGAGATACCTTCATCTTGCAGGTAGGGTAAACAAACTAAACATGAAAGAGAATAACTATGTTCCAAAATCACAAAGAAGAGATTTACCTTGAGAATGAGAGAAACAACTTCTCTGTGGCGATCTGAATAAAAGAAGAATACTAAAAAACAGAGGATGAAGAGAAAGACAAGTATGGTCAAATCTTGTATGATAAAAGATAAGAAGGCATCTCCAAATTTGTAGGAAAAGCAAGTTGTTGCTTCAAATTTGCCAAATATTGATACTGCATCTTTTGCAAGAGTAAGTGCATGTAGCTTATATCATCGCGCCATTGAGTGTTCTCTTCACAAGCTTCATTCTCTCAATTTTAAGAGCATCACAAATCAATTTTGTCCCCGTTAGATTGATATTGCCGTATTGTGGTGGGCAATTATAGTGGGTTGATTGAAAGCTAAGGTTAAAATGGGGTGTGAATAGAAACTACTGGTTTTGCAACTTTAATTGTCACCTTCATTTTAATAAGTTTTAAACTATAATGAACATTTAGAGACACCGTATAATTGAACGATCACAATTATTCAAGGCCGTTTGTTTCTTTTTTTCCACACTATACAAGAGTGTAAAAGAATTACCGACCTGCATCTGTTGAGTGGTTTGTCCTGCAGCCATGGAAAATATACCTCTATAGGGTTTTTTGTCGAACACTTCATGGGCGTCACCGTAACATGCCCTGTTAATTTGATTTTTTCACAGAATAAACTTAGTAAGCACTTGCAATAAGCAACAGTTAAAAATTTTGTGAAATATTCCAAGAGTTAACAACAATAACAACAAACCAAGAATATTCACTGAATAATAAAAAACAAAATATTAAAATATTAAAATTGAGAATAGATAATAATAGAGATACCTTCATCTTGCAGGTAGAACGCGGAGAAAACAAACTAAACATGAAAGAAAATAACTATGTTCCAAAATCATAAAGAAGAGATTTACCTTGAGAATCGAGTGAAACAACTCCTCAGTGGCGATTAGGAAAACAGAATGAGTAATAAAACACAAAGGATTGAAGAGAAAGCAAGTATGGTAATTAAGAGAGGGAGAGTGAGCGACTGTTGCGCAAGGCATTTAAGGAGAAGGGACTGTTGGGGTTTCTGCCTTTTGACACGACTGTAACCGATGGAATTTACAAAAATACGGGACTGTTTATTTCTCAGTAGAAAACTATTTTTTCTTCATTTTAAAAGGCAATGCTCTAAGAAAAGAGATAAATAGAAACCCTGGCATTTGAGAGATGCCACGTCAGATTTGTATTGCCCTGCTTTATATATTTATATAGATTATTATAAGTCACATATATGTATTGCATTTTTAGATAGGTTCAGCCTACCAAAGGTCGTTTATTAGATGATGAGCAGAAACAGACTGATTTATTGTGTAAAACCTAAATATACGGTATGTAAAATTCACTTTTTACATTAGTAGCTGGCACATAAAAAACTTACATAACGAGTAACTGAAATACAAGAGTTTTGTTTTATTAATCAAACGCCACCATCCTGCTGGGAGGTTAGGCAGACCCCAACCTAGCTTGTATACAAGAGCTTGATTTATTCATACTAGGGATAAAGTGTTAGATTATACTGGTTTGTATTGGTGGCTAATGCATGTCATTTATATACTGACAAAGAATTTTTACATTATTAATGTAATTTAACTTTATTACCTGCGTTAATTTCTGTTACTCGTAACTTGTTGATTGGCATAATTAGTGAAAGGGAGAAAAAGAAAGTTGTATCGCGCTTACCATTAATCTAGTCGATGAAGTAAAAAGAGGTAAATTGTGGAGAGCAGGAGAACGAGAACACGCAAGGCTGCAATCGAGGTCGTTATTCATACACATTTGCTGCTGTTGGTTCATTTGCATAAGAAGCTTCTTCTTAAGCTTCTTCTTTTCTCTAGCTTTGTGGTTTTGAAACCAATAGAAAACATTTTTGGTCTCAATCTTGCCAAGGAAAGACAAGTGGTCTGTGACTCTTTGTAATTGAGCAGCATTTGGATTTGTCAATCCTTTCCTATACATTTCTTGTAAGATCATGAGCTGCTCTGGGGTTGGACTCCATCTTGTATGACCAGTCATATTTTTTTTGTTCGTTTTTTTTCGTATTTCAAAAGATCGACTATTTTACATTTTCTTTTTGTGAGAAGGGGTATATATAGAGGAAGACCAAATAAACGAATTAAAGATGCAGTGGCCATTGGAAGAACAAATGCATCTGTGGAAGAGAGCAGGAAATGGACCAGTTTGAGCTGCTTCTTATGCGATATTGTCAAAAAACGTGATTACATTAAAAACAAGATATTTTTTTAGTAAAATTGTTATATGCATGCATGGAGAAATTCAAGTAGGAAATGGTCTACCGAAGAGCTATTCCGCTAATGCAAAATAGACTCTTAGAGGTCGTTTTGTTCGGAACAAGGATACCAATATGAAATTTATACCAAAATCATGGTGGTATCTATCTCATAAAGGAAGTAAAATTTTAATTATGAGATAACCTTGTTTTGAACTAAACGACCCCTAGTATTCTTGTGGTTCAAATGTAAAGAATCAATTAATTACTATGATGTTTTGGGACCCTACTGTTAAAACTCTTCTGGAAAAGAAATTTCCTATCTCATAAAGTGATTAGTTTATATTCTGATTTTACGACCTTCCTCCTTCTGTTTATGAGGGGGCGAAGAATGCAACAATATTATTTTCTTCCATAGCTTAAAATTAGAAAACAGCCTCACGTCTCTTGGCCGTACGTTCCTGAACACATCCCATTTACTTTGGGTAAGGAGCAGACGCATGTTAGTCTAAGCGGTGTCATCCCACACTATTTTGCCGAAAAATATTATTACTAATATAAATATAAATGATGTGCACAAAACAATGGTACAGGTATAATAAAATGACATAATCTACAAATAGTAATTCCTAGTTCACTGGTTAAGCCCTCATTTTCCTAACAGCATTTGGGGGTTTAAAACCTCAACCATGATTTATCCTTTCATAAATCTTTGAGCCTCTTTCATTAATTAACCCTCCTTTGAGCACCGATCGCCTCGTTGTTATGTATTCAACCCTTTCCTATTAACATATATAATAAACTGCATTTGCTATCACTCCAATGTGTTTTCGATTCCCTGGCTATAGTTCTATCTATATACAAAGTCATGGGCTTTTTTGCCTACATTCACTTTGCCAAATATTGTCTCATGTTGTTAGAAAATACACTTATTTCTCGTCGACTGTGTAAAGATTTCCAAATTGATTTATTATGTCATGGATTACCCTACTCGTAGCCTTAAAGTTTTGGGTGGAATACTCTGATTGACAAATTCTTTCACACTTGTTTTTTTGGCAAAATAGCCTCGTAGCCACTTAAACTTGCACTGATTTGCCATTCCAGTATATGAACTTAGGATTGTCCCATTTTAACACCTTAACACAATAAAATGAATACTAATAAACACCTCTGACTATTGACCAAACTTATGTGGCAATGACATAACTAGCATGGCAAAAGTGCGTGCCTAACACCGTAAATAAGCGTGTGAATATGATGGTTTTGATTTAAAAAATAATAATTAAAAAAAAATAATTTAGTAATACGTTATTAATGAAAAAGGAAAAAGTTAAAAAGAAAAAACCATCCCCAATTCCCCTCCACTCCACTCTTTCTTCTTCCTAACACCCCCTCCCCCTCCCCCACCCCTTTTCTTTCACAGTATTCCCAGCACAAATTCGTCATCACCCCTTCTTCCCAATCTTGCCGGCTGGGAAAGTGGAGTAGTTGGAGGTTTGAGTCTTTGAGATTGATGGATTTTATTTTCCTTATTTAATTTGGGATCTTTCATAGAAGGCATGGGTAAAAAATAATGGATACTTATAGTCACACCCTCTAGCTATTTATGGCGTTTTTCTTTCTGGATGCAATTTTAGATTTACGATTTATAGCCATGGAGATATCCCTTTTTTATTTGATTTGCGCAAATCATGCCCACGACTTTTATGATACTATTAATTTTTTGAAAGAGAATCTTGATATTGTTTAAGCAAAAGAAAAATGGTTGTAGATGTGTTATGCTGAGTCTCTCAATTCTGCCTAGCGCATTTTATGGAGGGGAAAGAGAAAGAAATCGGAATACTAGAGAGGACGAAGAAGGGGGTGACAGAAGCCGAGGGGGAAGGGGGTTGATTTTGGAGTTCTTTTAAATACAAATTAAGAATAAATGCCATTTATGTGACGTGTATGCTAATGTGTACAACACACCAGCGCAACTGAGCAACACGCATCAATAGAATATTTATTACTACTCACTTTATCGAGTTAAAGTGTTAAAATAGAAAACTCCTAAATTTATATACCGGGATGGCTAATCGGTACAAGTTTAAGTGGGTACGACGCCATTTTGCCTTCTTACATAAAATTTTGCAATCATGTTTGGTGCTTTTGCTTTCTTTTGGTCAGAAAACTAATTGCAATTAATCTATCAAATGTGACTATACTTTTAATTTGGTCGTCTCCATTATCTGAAGCATACGATAAATTTAATGTAGTAAAAGACCATGCGGGTATAACTACTTTTACTAAATATCTAGCAGAAAATGACTGTTATTCTCTATGGTAAGGGGTCGTTTGGTAGGGCGCATAAGAACAATATTGAATAAGATATATTAGTAATGCTGATATTAATTATAGTTGGATTAGTTATACTGACATTAGTTCTACTAACATATTTCTTATCCATTGTTTGGTTTGATATATTAAAACATTGGACAATTTCTAAAAGAATTATTTGTTTACAAAAATACCCTCAAAACCAGTCTATCACTTTATCTTTTTAAAATAAACATATGCCGAGGAATATTTTTATATGAAAAAGATTTGTAAAAAATTATTTGATTTGTCTACCTATATTATAGCATAGAACTGAATATTTATTGATAAAAACGGAAATATGCTAAATATTTATTTATCTACTAGGGATATAGTTTTATTTTCCACTTTCTTGGATTATTATGCAAAGGAAGTTTGAATTTAAAAAAATAAAAAGAAAATGAGTTGATTACAAATACATTCCAGTATCTAGTAGTAGAGAACATATTTATAAATTTACAATGAAGAAATTGACGGAGTATAGATATAAATAGAGAGAGCAATTTCAGTATCAAACTTTAAATCAAACTTGCATTAATATAATATCTATCATATTTTAATCAAGCATAAATTTTAAAGTGTAATTTTTTCTTTAACTAAGCTAATGCATGCATTAAAACTCAATGCGTTATTAATATCATGGTTTCCTATGCATTAGTTATGAATATGATAATACCAAATAAGGTGTATAACTAATACTTGCATAACTAATACATATGTTCAAAAAATGTACCAAACAAGGTATTATTAATACACAAAGCTAACATGCTTTATTTTATCCCATCCATCCTACCAAACACTTCTGCTGATTTTATATATTTTGGATTCAAGCTAATGCAAATATAATATCTATGTTTGCTATAAAAAAAACAGATGAATTCCGTCAAACACAATCAAGGAAATATAATCTTCGTTTCATTCTGATGTCTACCTCCTTTCATTCGTTCAAAGACAGTATCTGCATACCAGAGGGATAATCTTACCTTTTCTTGAGTGCATAAGTCATATTAATATTTCCAATTCATTGTTCAATAAATACTGTCATATAAAATATAATAGAACAAATATCAACTTTCTTTCTTTGTAATCTGAATAAATATATGGATGGGGGAAACGAATCAATATACAACCTAACATTGAACACTGAAGAAATACAGCATTTAACTGCTCAACGGTTGGAGAGGGTAGAATTCCAGAAATTCGTCGGATGTTCAGTAAAATTAATGAAGGAATAAATGTAATTAATAAGATATTATAGTAAAAAAAATGTAAAGGCGTGAGGTCATCTTGCTTAGATCCAACGGTTTAGATGGCATAGGCTCCTTAAAATTCACTAGTCTGACAAATGGGAATACTTGGGTCACTTTCAATATTAATGCAACCTTATCCTTCCGCAGGTATTAATTTTGTTCGGAAAAGGATTGTGGGAACTGAGGAATCAATGACACAAAGAGCATAATTTTATAATTATGTATCACTCATTTACTGAAAGTTATGGCATCAAAATGGGCCAGGCATGTAAGCTAGCCCAATCAAAATTTAGCCACTTTTCATGTAAAAATAAAATCCG